TATGCTTTTATGTAACAAAAGTGTCACTTGAGGACAAGTAACATTTAAGTTTGGGGGATTTTGATACACTAATATAATATACTATTTTAAGTACCTGTTTTATACTATTTTAAGTACCTATACTGTTTTAGTACTTCTTTTATGCCTATTTTTGGTGATATTTCACTTTAAAGATGGCTATTTTGTGTTTTTGTTTCAGGTATATCATTTTTAGGCATTTGGAGCAAAAATGACAAAAATGATAAAATTTAGAGCCAAAAGAGCCAATTTTGGATCGGCGCATAATGCGTCAGGGAAGACTTTTTCAAATTAAGGCGGTTCGAGATGAATTTTTGTGCAAATTTCAAAAGGACACTTGTTCTTTCAAAAGGACAGATTAATTCAATGCATCTAGACACTTTGGAAGGTTCTTTTATGAAGGCATATGACCTTTGGAAGGTTCTTTTCACTTTGGAAGGTTCTTTTATGAAGGCATATGACTCTTGGATCAAATGACACATCTTTTGAATTCATAAGAGTTAACTTTTGGAGCGAATTTTGAATTCTTTTCCAAAGGAGGTAGCCCAAAATAAAAGAAGAAGACTTCTCATTTGGGTGTGTGTGACATGAGGGAGAGAGAGAAAGTGGTGTGAGCTAGCTAGAGAGAGAAAAGGAGATTTTCTTCTAGAGTTGTAAGAGGAGAGGGAAGGTGAGAGAATTCTTCTTTATTACATTTCTAAGAGAGAATTGAGAGTGATTCTAAAGAGAGAAAAACTTAGAGAGAACTTCTAGGGATTTGCTTGGGAAGGATTATGAGATAAGTTGTATTTTTATTTCTTTTATTTTCTAAATTTATTTTTATATATGAAATTTGTGTTTTATCGTATCATTCTCATGAATTCTGAGTAGTTTTTTTTATCCTTCTCCCTTATTTGAAGATATGGTTTTGTGAAGAATAGATTTTATTTTCCACGGTTTTAAATGATAATAATTTATGATGATTTGAACTCCAATCTTCATTTACTTTTTGATTTGGCCAATTAAAATGTTAAAACCTGTTGAGAGACACATGTTCTTAAATGTGATATGATTTCTACAACATGGGGAGAATCACATTTGATTTCATGGGAGAGTATGTTATCCATGGGATTGGGTGCAAATAAATAGAGAATTATACTTTGTTGGATGCAGAATTGGAGATTTTAAGGTGACAGATTAAAATCCCTAAT